CTGTAATTGCTGACATCTTAGGCAACAAAGAAGTTTGTGTTTACGCTTTATTATAATAATATAGAGTATAGATTATTGAACTTAATAGATGTAGTCATCTTGATCGGTTTATTGCATCATTACTTAATCCGTCATAAGTATGCGAAGGTAAGTTACATTCTGGATGCGTAACATAAGGCTCTATAAATGAATCAATCGTCATCTACTTTTTTTTTTATAATATAAGGTGGCAAACGAGCAAGCGGCCACCTGAAACCGCCGAAATGGAAAGCGACCGCTACACATAGACTTCCGCAATTGCAGATGCGTTGCCTCCCCTTATTGACGGAGGAGACGCACTTAAAGAGGATATTGCCACTTGCTATAGTATGCTGTTCTTCGTTTTCACTAAATAGCATAGACTATATTAACTTTTTTTACACGCGGACGAAGTTTCGCAACAGCTAGTTCATAAAAGCTCAATGGCGCAATCTCTCATGGTTCATGAACAAACCGGTCCTCACTGATCCTTAACAAAGAGTAATAACCTTATAACATAATGAAATGTTTGCTAGATCATAATTTATATGTGGGTTTACACAGCTGTATCTATTTTATGTTGACTTTTATGGTACGGAATAAGTCGATTCTTATAGTAACTGCGACTTAAGTGACATTAAATAAACTTGGAGAAACATATAATAATGACATTAACCAGTGCTTGGTTCGAATCCTTTTTACAATGCTTTAGATATCTTCTATTGATACTTATTTCACTGATACTGTTACAGATACTGATACTGTTACAGATACTGATACTGATACTGATACTGGTGAAATAGTTCGAAATAATTATTAATAGAAAACGGTTAACATTTGTTGGAATTTGTAAAAAATATATTTTACCCAATTTGAGATTTCTTGGGTAATAAAAAACCTGTAATACTACTTTTAAATCCAATCAATACTTAGTATAATTACGAATCTAATAAAAATGTTAATTACATCCGAGCTAAAAATTCACCAAACTAGACTCTATTCCGTTGCTATAAGACCCAAACAAAGATTAACAAAATATCCATTAACAATTTTCCTGTTATAAAAATTCAATTACATATTATTAACGATAAAGTGTATTCGAATAATTACTTTAAACATATTACTAGAATCCTTAATATCTTTAAGATTTCTAAATCCTTGTAACATAAAAACATAAGAGCCACATCCAGTAAAAAACCACTTACTGCCACATCCAGGGTAGAAGTGGACGATAGATCTATGGTAAAAACTCCATCTCCACTCGCCGCAGGGACCACTTTCGTTTGACGTTTTGGCATCCTGAAACACGTTACCACTCGATACGTACGCACCATTTTGCACTCAATTCACTAAGATTTTAGCGGGAAAAATAACGTTAAAACTGCGCAGAATACGTGCGCGCGCGCAAGACATGCGCGTTGGAATGACAGGTTTAGGTCATTATAGTGAAACGTGGTTGAATCAGGTAGTGCCTTGAGCTTTTGCGATAGAACCCGTATTTATCTTTTAACCTTTTTTTACTACCAGCTAATTTGGAAAACAATGATTAAGCCTTGAATTGTTATATTTAGTTGTGAAATGTTATGAATTGTAGTTAACTGGCTATCGCCCGCTACTCCGTCCGTGCAGAATTCAAATATAACTTTGTAACTATATCTTCTTCCAGACTATATTTTACATCTATACAAAATCTTGTCGACAGTTTTTGAGATACGTAGTAACAAACATCCATTTATCCATCTAAGCTTTCGCGTTTATATTATACTAGCTATCGCCCTGGACTCCGTCCGCGTGGAATTAAAATAAATCAAAACTGAGTAGCCTATGTGTTCTTCCAGACTATCCTCTACATCCATGCCAAATTTCATCGAAATCCGTTCAGCCGTTTAGGCTACAAACTCTAACAAAAATCCATCCATCCATTTAAACTTTTGCATTTATAATATTAGTATTAGTATGAAGTTTCTTGTTTAATTATAATTAATTCTTTCTCCCATATTTTTTGTAATTTACTGTTATAAACCTATAAAAATTTCAGTTAAGTTTATTATTATATGGAGTCTAATGTCGGAAATAAACGCTTAGATAAAATGTAATCAGTAAATTGAGTTACACTTCCCATTACTCAGAGAAACGCTAAATATATTTAATTAACTATATTTAAATTTATATCATTACCAGCTCACTGTACGTCCCCACCGAGGGGCTCGGAGCTTACTCTAATATGGAGTGACTAGGCCATAGTCAACCACGCTGGCCCAGTGCGGGTTGGTTGACTTCACACATATCTTTGAATTTCGTCGCCGATATGTGCAGGTTGCATCGCGATACCTTCCTTTACCGTAAGAACGTCGGGTAAATTATGTACATATGAAAATTCGAAAAATCGAAAATCACATTGGTACATGGCGGGATTCGAACCCAAGACCTGTAGATTACAAGTCAAGTGTTCAAACCACTGAGCCACCGACGTTCTTCATATTTTTTATTATTGAAATTTATGTAATAGTTAAATATTATATAATACCAATGTATATAAACACAACTACGTTTTATATAATTTTTAACTAATTTGTTACCGCAAATGTCTTTATGTATGTATATCTCCGCGGTCAATTAAACATAGTTAGTTATTTACAATTAGTCATACCATTGTGTTGGGTTATTCCCGTATATATGTAATTATTCATTTATTATATATTATCTTACTAATATTATAAATTCGAAAGTTTATGTGGATGTCTGTTACAGTTTGCCTAAACTGCGGAACTGATTTCGTTCAAATTTAGCATCGGCTAGTTGCTTTTGTTTTATTTAATTCCCGGGCGGAATCGCGGGTGAAAGCTGGTATGCTATATATGTGGTGCCATCTGTACACATTGAGGGATAACTAAGGACTGCGGGTTCTGGCCCAGTATGATGATATTTTTGGCAGTTCAATCCTTTTTAAGCATTTTTTTAATGTTATAATCAACGCAAATTATTACGTAATACTTGAAAGTGTGTAGAATCTTATGTAAGAACCATAAGTTAATATTTAAATGTATTTGTTTAAGAGATAATGTCCTCTATCCACGTAGAGATATGAAATGTCATAATGATCAAGAGGTAAAACAAACTTTAACACAATAACATTAAAGCAGAAATTGAAGTAAAAAAAAATTACACTCTGATTGTTGTTTAAATAGACTGTTAATTAAATGACTAACGTAAAAATTGTTATTGCGAATAAGAATCAAAAAGAGTGCGCACAACTTTGATAAAACAATCGCACAACTGTCGATTGTCATTTGTTTCGCAGCCAATTCAACTGTTTATTTGCACAACTAAAAGTCGAGTAGTGTGCACACCTCTACAAGCTCATAGGTATCAAAGCGACACTAGACAGTTGTGCGATAGTTTAGTCAAAGGAGTGCGTACGCAATAGTATAGCAAAATAGAAACTAGACAAAATGCTAAAATAGCGAATGCTGACGTGATTAGAATACAGACGAGAATGCTATGAATTCTTCTAGCGTCGTGAAAATAAGGCAACAAGCGCCAAGTCATTGGTAAAAACCTTAAATAAAAGGAAAATGTACAGAATACATAATTTTCACGTTAGATTTGGAAATAACAACTGCCTTTAGTAAAAAAAAACAACAAATATCTATGAAGAAATTTAAATGTCCTTAAGTATTCCAATTCTTAGAATTAATAACATCTTGGTATAAAAAATTTTTATGTCGCATTAATTATTTAATTATCTCAAAGGTTGGAGTTATATTTAAATACTGAATCTCGAAGCACGTTTCTTCTCAGAACATCCAAGTGATTCCAATGACTCATGACGAAAATATTTAAGGCTATACTTTGCTATGTAAGCCATGTAAAGGTATTATTTGAGGATAAAATACAATTTTTAAGCAAAGATTATTTTAAAAATAAATTTAATGTTGCTAATCTTACTTATAAAGGCGAAAGTTTTGATGTAGAGATTTTAGTTGGAGTTTGTAGCCTAAACAGCTGAACAGATCTCGATGAAATTTGGCATAGACGTAGAGGATAGTCTGGAAGAACACATAGGGTACTTTGTTTTTTTTTTATTGCTGGCAATAGCGAATTAATTAAATAAAGATTAAAATATACTCTGGCTACCATAGTAGAATGAGAGAGCGATACAACGGCGACGATTAAAAAAACCCGTTCATATTATGCTCTAGGTTGGTACTAAAATAAAGAGTCGAATGGTAGGATTTTGAATCTACGAGCACATGTGTTTTCTGTACTCTTGTATATTAGGTTATTGGAGTTTGAAAGCTTAACTTTTAGGACAAATCTCGGATCCAGTTAAAGATGCAGGAATGGGTTGTATTTGTTTTCTATTCGAAATTCAAAATTCTGAATCCTTAAAACTGGCAGTTTAAAAGTCTCTATGGTCTACTTTTAAAAAATAAATTGTGGACCCTAAAGATTACATCTGTTATTGTTAATTTTAACGACTGGGTTCCACGAGTTGAAAATAATTGGTTTGTTTCATCCGTTTCTTATAAGAAGTGATTTCATCTCATCGTCTCCAGTAACCTCGTCAGGATTATGTATTGTTGTATTTTAGTTAATTTGCATATAGATTAGTAATTTAAGATATGTATAAAATATGAGATTAAACTCCTATTTAATATAATTTATGATAATGAGCATTATTTAAGATTTTTCATCGGAATTCTAAGAAACTTTAACAGAATCATAAAAGAATATCTGGTCCTTCTTATTTTTGATGAAAATCTGAATTAGTACTGTAAACCATAATCTTACTATTAATAAAAATGCGAAAGTTTAGAAGGATGGATAGATGGATGTTTGCTAGAGTTTGTAGCCTAAACGGCTGAACGGATCTCGATGAAATTTTGCACACATGTAGAGTATGGTCTGGAAGAACATATAGGTTTTTCAATTCCACACGGACGGAGTCGCTGGCGAAAGCTAGTAAATAATAGAATTAATTATATTTTTTATCGTTTATTACACCACCAAAATGTAGTCAAGCATAAGTAAAAGAATCCTTCATACACTAAAAGTAAATTGTATAAGTCGACAACAATTAAAAATAAATCAAAAAATATTATAACTCTCGATCCTACTATAGAGTTTGACCTTCATCATGATGACGGCGAGCAGCCAGTCCGCCGGGAGCAGCACGTATCGGATGTCGTGGTCGACGTGGTGGCCTTCCACTCGGAACGTCATCTGAAGACAAATGTACACTGTCCCCTTTTATATTCTGGTGATTGTGCTTTTTACCGACCTCTTCTTTGTTCTACTTTACTTACTTCGTTGTCTCCTCTACTGCCACTTCTTCTGCTATATGTTTGTGTTTTAATTTATATATAGTATATATATATATATATATATAAATAATAGTAATTTTAATGCTAACCTAACGTTGGTTTTCCTGTCTCATTCCATTTATATTTGCAGAATGCAGTTTGCTAGATATTCTTCTATTCTTTCAATGTCTACTCCTTTCATTGCTCTTTTCTATCATACTAGTATTATAAGCGCAAAAGTTTAAATGGATGGATGTATGTTTCTTAAAGTGTGTAGCCTAGACGGCTGAACAGATTTCGATGAAATTTTGTGTAGACGTAGAGGATAATCCGGAAGAACACATAGTCACTTACTTTTGTTTCTCTTTAATTCCACACGGACTGAGTCGCGTGCGAATGTATCCACATAAAGGCTAGGAAATTCATGAGCTCTGTTAAAAAGAACTTACCTTTGGAACTCCTCGTGTCTCCGGTGGTTCAATCAGTTTATCTTGGACTCGGAAAAACGCAGAAGCAGTAGCTTGAGGTATCGGGTAAGATACTGTCGGTTGACTAAAAATTGCCTGCAAACAAGATTACTATAGTCTTCTTCATCAACCTGCCTTTGTTGCTACGGAGGGTCGGCACAGTAAGTACTCTTTCATACTTCCTTCTTCAGCAAACTTCCCTTTGACACAATCCACTTATAATATCTTCGGTCTTCTGCCTTTGTAGCCACTCACATTCAATCTTAATACTTTCTTGTTTAAGATGGTGATAGTCATCTTAAAAGTAGCAATTCCTCTTTGTAATGCTCTATAACCAGTTTCATCTGGACTAACTTCTTCAAAGGGACCACATTGAAAAAACAAATGACTATCGCTTTAAACATTGAACATTTTTGTTATTATTGACATCTAAGAATAATTTTAGTAACTTACCTCAAAATAGAAATACTGCAAACATTCGTCTTTAGAGCTGCCTTTATATTTGAGTGAATATTTAAAAAGGTTTGTCAGTTTCCACGTTTTCTCAATAGCGTCGGCGATGAGGTCCCGGCTCGTGATTGCTAGAGGGGGCTCCAGTCGGGACAGGTTTACCTTAGCGGGTGCAGCGTACACGTCACGACTGTCTGTGAAAGACGAATGTCTTCTAAATTTATGGAAATCTATACTATTTTAATAAAGCGTAAACACACACTTCTTTGTTGCCTAAAATGTCAGCGATTACAGCATTTTTTTTGTAATTCTTTTTTAATAAAAAGCCCTACACTAACGACACGCTTTAGGCTATATATTTTCACGCCATTAAACTTAGGTAAATATTTTGGATCTGATGAGTGTAGTGCCGGAGGCCTAATTTTAGTCCCTTTCCCTTTCCATCCGTTTCTTAACAGGAAAGGATGTGCACGAAAAGTGGATTTGACGGCGGAGGAGACGCATAGGAAGGGGTAATGTCCTCTTTATGTGCGTCTCCTCCTCCATCAATTAAGGGTAGGCAACGCATCTGCAATTGCGGATGTTTATGGGCAGCTGTCGCTTTCCATTTCGGTGGATTCAGGTGGCCGCTTGCTCGTTTGCCACCTTATATATAAAAAACATTTTTACTTTATAAATAAGTGTATAAAATATATATCTATACTATTATCTATCGATAGTACTAACTAGCGAGTTGTTTCAAGGTCTGCCGGTCGCCCAGCATCTCTTTAGCCCGATTTATCACCGATACAACAGTGTTTATAGCTCGCTCCTCATACGAATATACCTCAGGAATATTCATATTTCCTTCGTAGGTCTCTTAAATATCCCTAAATAATACAGAATGTTATACTGTAAGTATGGCATTTTTGAAAGTCATAATATGAAGTGTCAGTTTTTTTCTATAGAATGTTTGACAAATGTTGAATTTAAAAAGGTTTTATTTGTTAGATATGAACAGAAAAGAGGGAATTACAAATATTGTTAAATAAAGTTATTAGTTATACATAATTTATTAGTGAAAGTAATTTATGTATAATGTATGGATCTGAATGTTGGTCAGTAAAAGGGACGGACGAAAGGAGTACACATGTGGCGGAAATGCGCATGTTAAGATGGATGTGTGGTAACAGGATTGGATAAGATACGAAATGAGTATATTAGAGGAAGTTTGAGAGTAGCCCAAGTGGTTGAGAAAATAAGGAGTAAAAGGTTAGAGTGGTATGGTCATGTTATGTGAAGGGATGAATCGCATGTAACAAGACGGACGTTAGTTATGAATGTAGAGGGGTACACCGGTAGAGGTAGACCTACAAAGAGATGGATGGATTGCGTGAAATGTGACATGATCAAGAAGGGAGTGATGACTGAGATGACGGATGAAGGAGTGCTTCGGAGGACGAAAACCCGGTGCGCCGACCCTACGGGAGTAGGATAAAGCAGGGGAGATGACGATATTAGTGAAAGTAATTTTGATACCGATATTCGTAATTATTCATGTGTTCAAGGATCCAAAGTTTAATATCAAGGTGACATTGAATTTAAGCTAAGAACATGAACCCTTATCGAAATTAAAACACTAAATTAAATAATTTTCTTTTGATTTTCAGTATAAGGAAAATGTTTCATGTTCCAAGTTAATTAAGTTAAAAGTAATGTTAAGCAAAAATAAAACTCGTTGTAATTATGTTATTTCAAATGCGATAAGCACAATTATATTTTACGGCTTCGTGACTGAAATTGGATTATGAAATATTTGGCAAAAAAATGACTAGTAAGATTAGTATGTGTTTGAAACATGGATTACTAGCTTTCTAGAATATTACTAACAAAATAAAAAAAAACAACTTAGTATATCTATATGCTCTTCCAAAACATCCTCTACATTTGTGCCAAATTATCTAGATTGGTTTAGCCGTTCAGGCTGCAAAATCTAACAAACATTCACTAATCTAAAATTTCGTATTTAATATTAATAGTAAAACGGTCCTCTTTGTCAACTATCGCACAACAATGTGCGATTGTCGATTGTTTCGCAGCCAATTCAACTGTTTAGTTGCACAACTAAAAATCGTGTAGTGTAACCTAGTTAGTGTGTGATAGTTTGGTCAATAATGTGCGCGCGGTTTTAATAAAACAGAGACAGGGATAGGTTTTAGTACAGATGTGTATGACAGTGGAAACTCACGGTCGTCAACGGTCGTGTAATGAAAGTGAAAATGTTAGTACAGGCGAGAGGGAAAGTGCCTTGAGAGTTGCGATTAGAATAAAGTCTTAGTTAAAATAAAAGGATGTATTAGTTTAACTACGTTTAACAATTCGTTAATGTTTTTGGTTCGATAACTTACCAGTGGTAGAGCCCGCTTTAACATTTTTGCACTGTAAGGCTCGACCAGTGCAATACTACGACCACACAGAAGACAGGCGATAAGTGGAACCATTACTGCGTTTCGTCTAACGAGTGTGGTACCGGAGCCCTAATTTTAGTCTCTTTGCCTTTCTACTCTTTTCTTAAGAGTATAGGATGGGAAAGGGAAAGGATTTGATGATGTAGGAGACATATTGAAAGGTGATATGTCATTTTTATGTGCGTCTCCTCCTCCGTCGATTAAGGGTAGGCTACGCATCTGCAACTGCGATCTTACTAATATTATAAATACGAAAGTTTAGATGGATGGATGGATGTTTGTTAGAGTTTGTAGCCTAAACGACTTAACGGATTTCGATGAAATTTGGCATAGATGTAGACGATAGTCTGAAAGAACACATAGACTACTTGTTTTTGTTTTTTCATTTCACGAGGACCGAGTCGCGGGCGAAAGCTAGTGATATAAAAAATGGAAACTTCAGAAACCTAACACAAAAAAAGTATTTTTTGACCGACTTCCCAAAAGACGGAGGTACTCAATTCGTCTGTATGTTTTTTTTGTAAGAGGTGAAATTATATCCATGTAGGTAATCTAGCTACTGTTAACCACAACCACTATTCTATTATTAGCATACATTTAGTATGAGCGGCATGAACCAACCGTGTAATAACTTAGTGCGTCATACGCGAAAGTCAATAGTTTTTTTTTAAATTCCATGACTCACCGGACACACGGCTCGGTGGTTGTACTGGTTTAAAAATAACTGGCAGGCTACGGTATGTAGTTTTGAATAATCATGGAAATTGTCACACAATTATAGTGCGGCCAATTTATCTGGTCTGAGGTACAGATATCACTTTGAAATTATATAAAACTCGGGTAAAAAAAATAAAACAAGACACGACTAGTAATTTAGCGTCTCTTATGTTCACCGGTTCAAATAATTTTGCAAGTCTTTTGTATTTTATGTATAGGTTTTTCCCGCGGATACGACCGCAAGGATTTAAAAAAAGAACATCTGTCAGATTGTAAGCGGCGCTTATAAAGCAAAATGTTCAAGTCACAATTCGGCTGTGGGTAAAAGATTACTTGAGCAAACTAAAATCTATTAGTTTTCTGCTGTTACTTTTTCACTTTTGAACTACGTGTCACATGTGTATATCTTGATGCCATCTCTATCATTCTTTATAAGAATAACAGTGACAACAATATCGCATGTTAGAAATGACATCTCAATAACAATGTAAGATACTGCATACTGCATATAATTAATTAATCATTCCCCACGCGGATATAACGAAGACAAGGTTAGCTGAGAGATCACGTAACCCCTTATGTTATTGTTTATACCAGAAGTTCCTAAAGTTCTTTCGTCCAACGCCCGAATTGATAACCTCCTTCTTTCGGGAAGTCGAGTAAAAAATTATTTTGTCTCTCATTCTTAATAATATATTCTTTCATGTAGTTTAATTAAACTTTAAAAAAAAAGACAGTTCTTACCATTTTGAGCAATAACGCAACATTACAATATTAAGAGCCCCGCAGTCTTAAGACTAGAATATCACCCAACTAAAAATATATATGTCGCAACCAGAAGAAGAAATCAATTTGATTTTAAGTCATAATTAGCTTGTAATAATCCTAATAATCCTTAATCCTCTTCCTTTGTAGTCATGGCTACAAAGGAAGAGGAAGACCGAATAAAGTATGGATGGATTGTATGAAAGAGGATATGCTTAAGAAAGGAGTGGATGCAGATATGACGGCTGATAGAGATGTATGGAAGAGCAGTACATACTGTGCCGACCCTCCATAAGGATAAGGGCAAGTTGATGATTAAGTCATAATTAGAACACAAGCGCCGCCAAGCGACTTTTGTGCGAACTTAGATCATTCTGAACATTGTTTGAACGATATGAGCTTGTAGATGATATCCTGACTGAGAAGTATCATGAATGTATTCCTGGAATCCGACTTTACCCATGACCATATGTGATCTCGAGTAGTAATTCTGATATCGTGCTAGCTCAAGCCGACATATATTAAAATATACATTTTTAAAATCTCCGGAATGTCCTGTTTGTTGAAAACGCAGTCGCAACAATCGCAGTTCATGCATGTTTAATCTTTATTGCACTTTGTTTAACAAATGTCTCGCGCCGCTGCGTTTCCGCAATATTTATAATAATGTAAATAAAAGTTACGTTACTCTCAATTATTATTATATTATTTTTTTTGAAGGTTGCAAAATATCGAAACAAACGCTGCTATAGACATTTGCATTTTTAGATAGATGACATTTCCCCTTCTTACGCATCTCATCTTATGTCGCTTTCGTTCCTTTTCTTGTATAAAAAGGGAAGGGAAAAGGAAGATGACTAAAAAGTTCAATACTTTTATTCTATAGGTGAAAAAGTATTTCAAGAGCGGGCGTACACCTTTGACTAAACTATCGGACAACTGTTGTGCGATTGTACATTGTTTCGCAGCCAATTCAACTGTTACACAACTAAAAATCGTGTAGTGTGCCCACCTCCATTTAGCTCATAGAATTCAATGCGAGACTAAACAGTTGTGCGATAGTTTAGTCAAAGGTGTGCGGAAGAACTTCAAATATCCATGTCGTCTTTTCGTGACCCGAAACTGACATAACTGTAGAGAGTCAGCACTCACCTCCCAACGACGGACCACATGTATGACTCACACAAAACACACCTGAGATACATCGATGTTACTTATCTAGATGTGGCTTCCTAAAATGACAGTCACCAAAAAAAAATTATACAACACTTCAAACAAATCAGCTTTACGATACATACTTAGTATAGAAAAATAAAACGTTATTATAATTTTAATAGTAAAATTTAGTTTAAAAGCGATTAAGCCTTAACATTCAAAGGACATAAACCTATTTGTACAAAATAAACAATTAAATTATGCATGTTTAACGATAAAAAAGTGACATAAACTTGAACAAACCAATTAACAACTGTTTATTAAACCGGTCCAAGTTAAAGACAAACACTTCCAGTATATTTATATCCGTATCAGTCGTAATACCAAAGAGGGCGCGAGCGCACGCTTGTCAGTCGCTTGACAATATCGCGAGTAGAAAGACAATCGATACGACTGTGTGTATATCAGTACATACAGATGTAGATCTAAGTGGAACTAGAGATATACTGTCTACATACAAGTGGTTCTAAAAAGATTCCTTCACGTGGACATTTCCTTAGATTATTCAAAAGGAGTTGTATCCTTTATGTTATAAAGTCAAAGATCGTGTGTATCCTTGTAAACAGTGTGTAGTCTTATCCGTGTGTGGACGATGGGTGCATTGGATTGTGTTAACGTTAGCAGGATAACGCCGACGGAAAGCACAGAAGTGTTTGCGGTGAATGGATCGGAATCATCATTAGATAAAGCGGTGAGTTTGCTTCATCATTTCTATAGACGAGCTGTCGTCCGCAAATTTGGACCTACCGTTACGCCATTTTGACACCGCGGAATTAAACAAAATAGCCTATGTGTGCCTAACCATGTCAGTTACCCAGTGAAAGTCCCATCTCAATCGGCCCAGCCGTTTCCGATATTACCCGGAACAAAAGCAACTTGTGGACAAACAGACAGATAATTTTATTAATGCAATTTTTGTTATCAGCAACGCAAATACATCATCATCCCGAAATCTGGAATTTTCTTTTGATACAGACACTCCAATTTAATCATATCTATAGATGGCAGTAATACGTGGCAACGAGACCATAGGAGTGGGATTCCTTGTCACTTTTACCTCATTAACAGGACATGTGTTTGAAGGTATAAACCGACAAGAATATCTGACACGGTGAACAAAATCATAGTAAGAAACAAAGTCGTTTCCAGCTCTATGTACGTATGCTTAGATCATTAAAACTACCAAACAGATTTTCATGTAGTTTTTTTAGAGTAATACAAGAGGAAGGTTTATGTGTATAGAAATAGTATAGAAATATATATAATAGTATAGAAATATGTGTAGAGAAATAGTAATCATTTTAGAGGTTTCTAATAAATTCACGTCCGTAATAGACCCGTGCGAAGTCGGGGCAGGACCCTATTACAATTTAATTATGACGACTGTTACCGCCACCCACAGATCTTTGTTGTACTGCAGATGTCATACTATTTTTATGTAATTTTCTACGTTTAAGTATATTTTAAATATATTACCGAGCTAATATCCTAGTTTGACTATTGTCAAATGACAAGAGCCAATAGAAGTTAATAGAAGCCTTGGCTCTTGTTATTCAATTTGTATTCTTCGGAGTTTTATAGTAACACGAGCTGTTGCCTGCGACTTCATCTGGGTGAAATTAAAAAATAATAAAAATAGCCTATGTTACTCAATGATAACATTGCTTTTTAATGTTGAAACATTTTTTTTAAACCAGTTGGTTTTGAGTTATTTCAATACAAAGTACAAATCTTTCTTCTTTGTAATATTTGTAAAGATAAGTCCAATTCTTCTATTTACACTAAAAAAGTTTTACTTCTGTAGCTCGTTGCTCTTATATAAAATAATAACTAGTTCAAAAACATCGTCATCATAATTATATGCGATTTCACGCTGTATATTAGTACAAAAATGATAGAGATATCAAGATAATATTTTCAACATTGACTCATCTTAAATGACAGGCATATTAAATATTACTACAGATAAAATAATTGTTACAAAAACATATTTTATTTACATCGTAATATCGACTAGCGCCATCGAGTTTCATACTATTCTCTAAATCTATACCAAATTTCATCAAAATCCGAGCTGTTTAAGCGTCAAACTCTAATAAACACCCATCCATTTTAATTTTCACCTTAATAATATTAGGTTTTTTTTATTTATTTCAACGAAAACAGTTTTACATAATTGTGTTATACAGTTTGGTGCCATTAAATTTAAATGTTTAGATTGGCACTGCACAGTTTTTTTTAATTAGTTAGTTATGGGTTACCATTATTATATAGAGCTTGTATTATGTTCTTCCCCTTAGTATTACATTGCCTAGACTCGTAAACCTTTAACAGAACAAAGCGTTGTACGAAACCCTGTCTAACACTACTTTCACATAGATCATGTACTAAACTAGATAGGTTACGAAATTAATCCATTCTATAAACATTTCTTTTATTATCAACATTTGATACTGTACGTGTGTTATTCCATTTTGTTGTATAATCATGTTCTCCAATTCTGTTATGACTCACATTCTCTTTCCAATGTTTTGGAATTCAAGTTTCACCAAACAACCTTGAAGGAACAAGGAAAATGTTTAAATCGCTTTAAATTGAAGAGTTTGTCTTATAATGGTACCAATCTTACTTATTACTAATATTATAATCAGATGGATGGATGTTTGTTAGAGTTTGTAGCCTAAATTGGACCTATCTCTATGAAATTTAGCGTAGACGTAGAGGATAGTCTGGAAGAAAACATAAGTTACTTATTTTTACTACGTATTTAAGTATTTGTTTTACTTTCGTCTAGCTAATTGATTTAATTGCTTTTCCCAATGGAATCCACGCGAGGAATTTATCCATGAAAATTTTCCCTGAAATCTCTCTTTTCCTCCATAAGCATTCTTTTATTTATATTAGTAGTTAGTTATTTATGTTTTATCTAAAAGATTATTGAATGTGTTTTGCTTTTGATGTAAAGTGAATCATCGTTTATCAGAAAAAAAGAAGGTCAATCGATTGCGTTTTATATTTTCGCTAAATCATTTATCTAAAATAGATATAATAATACAATTACATGACACAAATCTTATCTTACTTATCTATACTTATGTAATAAAGCGTAAACACACACTTCTTTGTTGCCTAAGATGTCAGCAATCATAGCATGTTTTTGAATAATTATTTTATTTAATAAAAAGCCCTAAACTTACGTCACGCTTTAGGCTATATATTTTAACGCCATTAAATGGGAGAAAACATTTTGGATGAGAACCCTAATGTGGGAAAGAGATCATAAGTTGCTGCCAACATCAAGGAAACAAGATTGTCATCATGTCATGTCATTTTGACATTTGTAATTGATCACACAAATGTAAACAATAAAATAAAATTTCATGCGGGTGAAGCCGCACGGGTACAGCTAGTATTAAATACAATAGTTTGCATTGATGGATGTACGACTGAACAGCTTAACGTATCTTGGTATTGACAAATTATTAGAATAGGCTAGACTGTTTACTGATCGAAAGAAGTCGTGGACTATCGTTAGTATTAAATCGAACTGCTCAATTAAAAATATGCTGTAGTTTTATCAAGACATATTTCTAAACGAAATAAATACGATGACGATGTTACAACTAAAAATATATACAAGTTAGGTCGACTGTGCAAAAAATTGTCATTGTATGCGTATAAATATATTTAACTAGCTTTCGCCTGCGAGTCCGCGTGAAATTCATAATAAAAGTGAGTTGCCCATGCATTCTTCTACCCTATGCCAAATTATAGAGATCAGTTTAGCCGTTTAGGCTACAAACTCTAACAAACATCCATCCATCTAAACTTTCGCATTTAGTAAGATTATTATGACTAAAGCAAAATAAGGGAATTTACAAATTAAATGAATAATTCGAAACAAAATGATCCCCTCTTTTGGTTTGATAAAACATAATGGGTTTCCTTAAATGAGTCAATATTCTATCAGTTACAAGGTTTAAAATAAACTGTTCGTACAAACCATAAATGGTTAAGGAATTAACTTTGTTAAGTTCATAGCTGTTTCTATGCAAGTTTATTCGCGTGAAACTGTGAAAACTTTATAGTTTACGAGCTGTTGCCCGCGACTTCGCTCGCGTGGTATTAGAAAATATGTATAAACTAACATAAATTACAAAAAGTTACGTATCCCTCGGGAACCTGACATTTCTCGAGGATGAAGCTTATCCCATGTGTACTCCAGACTTTGTTTTATATATGTGCCAAATTTCAATAAGATATGTTGAACCGTTGCAGAATGATCGAGTAAACATTAAAAAACTAAATAAATGAATCCCACGGGAACCGTAACTATTCCCGGGATAAAAAGTAGCCTATGTGTTCTTCCAGACTATGCTCTAAACCTGTGCCGAATTTCATAGAGATCCGTTTAGCCGTTTAGGCTACAAACGCTAACAAAAATCCATCCATCCATCCATCTAAACTTTCGCATTTATAATATTAGTAAGATATTTGTAAGGGCCTCTCCCAATGGTTAACAATGACCGTTACCATGGCAATATTTGCTATTGCCTTGTTTTATTTCTTTCCCAGGCGGTTTTTTTCCATTTGATTTACCCCTAAATTAAATAGCGTGATATATATATAAAAATGTTACTCAGTAGCAGTAGCACGCTGTGATTGCTGACGTCTAAAATGACAAAGAAGAGTTTTTTTACGCTTTATTATATGTGTACAGGTAGTAATAATGTAACACAAAAGTAAGTAGCCTATGTGTTCTTCCAGACTATCATCTACATCTGTACCGAATTTCATCAAAATCCGTTCAGCTGTTTAGACTACAAACTCTAACAAACATTCATCCATCTATCTAAACTTTTATAATTATATTATGATTGAAATAACTCAAAAACTATTACGTCGATTTCAAAGATTTCAAAAATCAATTAGTAAGATTAATGTTGTTTATTTATTTATTTATTTATTTATAAAGTACACCAACAGATAAGTTATAGAACAATTACATAAGAAATAACATATAAGACACAAGAATGATAACAAATCCAGTTATAGGTATACAACATTGTTAAAGAGAAAAAAAAACATTACGGTTAGGTTACAGAAAATGTGGAACAAACAAGATAAGGGAAAAAAGAAATTAGCTAAAACCAAGTCCTATGTCTGTGCCTCCGAATGTGAACGTATGTGTTTTTTTTAATTATGTATGGAGGTGCAAAATATGTCTGTGTTGTGCTTTTCGCTGTGCAATTCGTTGTACGTACGACATATCCGGGGGATGGGTGAGTTCAGGCCAAAGTTTCCGAATTCAAACACCATAGAATAAATAAAAATTTGAGGTCAACGTTCCTTGCTAGAACATCGACTTGAAAAAAAAACACCCAAAAATTTGAATATTATACAATTTTAAACCAAGATACCTATTATAATATAGAATTATAGAACATTTAAAAATCTTTTTGATATAAAATTTTCAATTTTAATAATCAATTTTCGTTTTTGTTGACAGCGCCATCTAGCGTCGAATAGAAAACCAAAGTTATCAAAGATGAAGTGTCAAGCGACAATAAACATCGCACGCCGCGTAACTCGTACAATCAATTTAATTATAAAGCAGTAAATCTTTGTCCGTCATTATTATCAATAATTAATTAACAACAAAAGAGACTGTTAGTATACTATTAATAGAAT